GAAGATATCTCCCTGGCATAAGAAAAGTTAAATTTTTCCACCTTTAGGCCGGCGGCTTTTATATTGCTTTGTATAAAAGCGGTTACATCATTGGATGTGAGGTCAGGGGCAAGCCGCGAGACAAAAACTTGTTGTTTTGGTGGGATTCCCACCAGTGGTTTTGGCACCACAGGCCTAGTACCTGTGATGCCAGTATACAGGAAAACTGTATTATATACCTTCAACCTATACCTTTTTCCACCTCCGTACGGTGGTCCTGGACATCTATTAGCTGGTGGGAGCGAAACTGATGGGATAGTTATGGAGTTGGGTGCGGACTCGACGGACACGGACGCTACAGACATTTCTAACTGGACACTCTCCGAAGTGACGCATTCGGCTTCCGAATCTGCACCACCAGCAGCGATCGTTGCCCTTGGAGTAGCAAACGTAATCAACTGCTGCATTAAGGGAGTGGTCGGAGTAAGTTTTTCAGATGCCGGCGGACATGAGGCAGTCGGCGCTTGCAAGTCCCGCGGAGTAGACTTCTTGCGCCTCGGGGACTCAGCCAGCAGCTGTAAACTGCTGAACTGAGTGTCCATGGCCAAGAGCCGGTCATATTGCTGTTTACGGCCCACGATCAGCTCTTTGAAGCCACTCAGCGTCTGCCTCATGAACGAACGCATGTCGTTTTCCACAGCACGGCATTCCTCACAACTATAATGCAGGCCGTTGTTTTGGGAAATGTCATCTCCTACACGGCCCGAGATCCCTACACATTTTGCGTGCACTACGCTTTCGGAAAGCCAGCAAGGGATATTGGGCTGGTCGTTGGTAACCTGCTTCTTGCAGGTTTTTTTTGGCACAGACGACAGCAAACCCCATAATGATGTCTTTTAATTTGTTTGAATTTCTTAAAAAAAAATTCAAATCAAATAGCCATCAGACCAATGTGTAGAGCAAATGCTAAGAGCGATGCTTAAAACAAAATCGGTAAAAATAAGATGAGAGTGGTTGCAGTAATAGCTTATAAGTGAGAGCGTTACTGCACAGAAAGTTACGAGAGCGAGAGAGAAAGAACAGTTATTGAGAGTTAGGTAATATAGATAGAGTATCGACGGCAATAACTACGACAATGAGCGGCTACCCCGGCATCCATCGTCAACTCAGAATATGGCCCATTACACTAGTCAACACGATTTTTCCCCAAGGAACAAAACGAACTTTTTCTTAAAGATTTGGGGGTTAGAAATGGTTTGATGATATTTTTTTTCTATGCCAGAACTTTTTTTTAAAGAATTTATGAAAACTGGTATTTTTTCAGCTTTTTTCAGAGGTAGCGCTGGTTTTTTTCACATAACTCTAGTATCTTACGTCTGGTTGTGAAGAACTTTACTACTTTGAATAGATAATTAAAACAGCTATTAGGTAAGCCCAAACACTTTCTGATTTCAGCTTACCGTCTGGAAAATATAAAGCATTGAAATGCCAAAATGATGATTTTTGTGATTTTAAATTTTGAATTTAAAAACTAAGGAAAAGTCGGAAAAAAAATTATATCCTATGTCCTCTATAATTTTGTGTATAGGTGCATTAATTTGGCGTCATTTAAGGTATCGCTTATTAAAATCTATGGATAAACGGTCAACTTGCAGCCGTTTGACCAAAAACGACTCAAAACTAAAATCCCATTGCTGGTCCAATGCCAAAGGAACACGTTCAGGTAGCAAAAGCCTCTTCTAGCAACCCCTCTTCGTTTGCTTTGTTTCCAATTGGCAGTTGGGAATAAATCAAACGAAAAAGGGTTGTACATTTGGTACCTGATCGCGATCGCAATTCCCGATTGGCAGGATATAGGATATCATTTTTTAATTTTAATTTTAGGATATATAATTTTTGCATTTCAATGCTTTATATTTCCCAGACGGTAAGCTGAAATCACAAAGTGTTTGGGCTTAACATCTAGCTGTGTTAATTATCTTTTCAAAATAGCAAAGTTCTTCACAACCAGATGTAAGATACTAGAGTTATGTGAAAAAAACAAGCGCTACCTCTAAAAAAAGCTTAAAAAAAATACCAGACTTCAAAAATTCTTAAAAAAAAAAGGAAAAAACGAGAAGGAACGTGCGAGTCGCTTCTGGGACGCGACTCTACTTATACCCGTACTCAGTCAGCATATACATTTTTTAGCATATGATTTTTTAGAATTTTAGAATTAAAAAAAAAAATTTTACATTTTACATTTTTTTGCTACATCTGTTATCTAGATCTACATATATTATGTATATTATACATCTAACATATATATTACACATGTACCATTTAGATTCTACATCTCCTCCGCTAGGGGTTGCTCGCGCACTGAACGCGGCAGAGTGTGCGAGTGAGAAGGAAAATGAGTTGCATGGTCGTCGGCAAGAGTGGTAAGGGGAAGCGACTGAAAATTAATTTCTTCATTCTGGCTATAATTATGATCCGATCTTGTTCAGATTCGGCAGTCTGGTAGATATGGGCATTCTGTACGATACCGCGTTTTTAGTTTTATCGTATCTTTAAAAATGTGCCTGCCACAGATTTTCGTCCTTTGTTTGAGCAGAAGGGGGCGGGGCGAAATTTTGAAATACACTTGTAGCAGTGTGATATCACATGAGTCTGGAAACCAATTTGGTTGCCCTAGCTCTTATAGTCTCTGAGATCTAGGCGCTCAACAAGACGGACAGACAGACAGACAGACAGACGGACAGACAGACAAGGCTATATCGACTCGGCTATTGATGCTGATCAAGAATATATATTCTTTATGGGGTCGGAAACGTTTCCTTCTCTGCGTTACACACATCCACTTTTACCACAAATCTAATATACCCCTTAACTCTTTTTTGAGTACGGGTATAAAAAGTTCGATTATGTCGAGTAGTGTAATCAATGATTTTGAACTTCGGGCGCACGCACACACTAGCTGAAAGCGGAGCTGAATAAGCTTGTTGATTAAGCTGCCAGTAAGCTATATACTGACAGTGCAACTTTCGAGACTGATGTAATCGCTTTTTCCGAAACCTGGCTCAACTCCTCTATTTATGACTTCGAGATTCTCATTGACAAATTTAACATATATATGTAGGTATGATCGTCCATTTCGTCGTGGCGGTGTCCTGATTGCTGTTCGTTCGGACATATCTTCTCAAATCTTTCACGTCGAAGGGCATAATAACATTGAAATTATTGTTGTTAAGCTTCTAATCTCTTTATATCCTGCTCTTACATTCCGCCGCCCTCCGAATTCTCCACTTATATGCTTCACGTTTCCCATCTTCAGTCTGTTTCGTCCCAACTTAATGACTCTGATCATCTTATAGTCCTTGGAGACTTTAACCTACCTAATATCTCATGGTCTCCTTTTGTGGACTCTAACCTGATGTTCCCTTCTATTCAGCATGATTTTGTTGATTCATTGTCGGATACATCGTTGGGTCAGGTCAATGCTATATCCAATAACTTGGGTAGGCTTCTTGATCTCGTGTTTTCTTCCGACATATCGAATACCATGGTCTGCAGAGGGTCTCCTCTATCTTTCCCAGAAGACCCTTATCATCCCAAACTTGAAATTTCCGTGCAGTTGCCCTCCTCTGATCCCATCAAATCTCCCGTTAAGCTACAGTCTATTTTTTGCTTCAATAAAGCAGATTTTACGTGCTTAAATCTTGCATTTTCTCAGATCGATTGGTCATTTCTCGACGACTTTCATGAAATTGAGCCGGCTACAAATGCTTTTTATTGTTCCTTGTTCAATGTCTTTAATACCTATGTACCTTTAATTTCACCTTCGCGTCATGTTAGTGGCCCTATTTGGTTCACCCCGCGTCTGATAAACCTTCGGAGTATTAAATCTCGCTTGTATAAAAGGTTCAAAAGAACTGGTTCGCAATCTGACTTCTCTAAGTATTCAATCGCTAAAAGAAAATTTCTTTTATTTAATAAAATATGTTATAATGACTACTTGTCCAAATGTAGACTTAACTTTAAGCGTAATCCATCCCTCTATTATGGCTTCTTCTGACATACTTTGTCCCAATCAATATTATCCTTTCCACATGAATAGTTCTAACTGTATATATCCGCCCTTCATCGACTATAATGACCTCTTAATTAATTTAAAGTCATGTAAATTTTTCTTCTCTACTGGCCCAGATATGGTTCCTAGGGCTGTTCTTAACCTTTGTGCTGATTCTCTCTGTGTGCCTCTCCTTAAACTGTTAAGCCTATCTCTCGAGCTCGGCGATTTTCCCACCGTCTGGAAAGAGTCATATATTATTCCTATTCATAAAAAGGGGTCTAAATCGGATGATTCTAATTACCGTAAGATCTCCAATTTATCTGCTATTCCCAAACTCATCGAAAAAATAATTACTTCCCAGCTCCAACACTTTTGGTGTCCCTTATTCTCTGAATCGCAGCATGGATTTGTAAAACGTCGGTCTATTTCTTCTAACCTCCTGGAATTCTCCACCTTCGTGCATGCGAGTTTCGCTAAGCAGTCTCAGACTGATGTAGTCTATACTGACTTTAGTAAAGCCTTTGATTCAGTAAATCATAATCTGCTTATTCATAAATTATCTCTCCTAGGGTTTCCGCCTAAACTTCTTTTCTGGTTTAATGCATACTGTAGAAAATTCGAAACTATTTTTGTTTGTTTGTTTGATGCCTTTACTTAGGCTTGAGACGCGGGAATTAGCAGTACAGACCAGAGCTGTGGGCGGCGATAAAGGGCGATCAAAAAATAAACCGTGCGAAACGAAGTTCAATGCGGGCTGCGGGCGTGTAGTTACATGTTGCTTGGATTTAAAGTGGCGGGACTTCATGCCGTAACCTTACGAACTGCATTACATTTCATACATAACTTCATTGCATTCTACTTATTGACTATTATTCTATGGTGTAACGACATTCCGGCCGCCTTGAACGACCGCACGTCGGGCTTCAACGTATCGGCAAAAGTGCCAGCTTATGGATTGGGCGTCTAATCACGCCCCCTCCTGTTCGCACCTCTGCCACCCTGACCTTGCCGTCTGCTCCCACGACGACGCTGGTGACCCTGCCGGTGATCCACTGCTGCGGCGGCGTATGGTCGTTGGGGTTTGCCATTTGCTGCGTCCCTGCAGGTTGTGGACGTAGTCCTTTGACCAAGCCTGCCAGAACCGTCGTTTGAGCTCGGAGAGTAGTTGCCACCTCTTGGTAAAGGTGGTACCGCTGCTCCGTCCGTCTGGCTCGCACCCTTGCGGCAGCGAACGAAGGGGCTGGCCGATCAAAAAGTGGCCTGGCGTAAGCACCTCTCCGTCGTTTGGATCCGTACTGGCTGGAGTGAGCGGCCTGGAGTTCATGATGGCCTCGGCCTCGGCCAACACGGTCCTCACCTCGCTCTCGGTGAGCGCGGCGTCCGCGACCTGCCGCACGATCAGGAGCTTTGCCGACTTGACGGCCGCCTCCCATAAACCGCCGAAAAGCGGTGCTCGCGGGGGGATGAACTTCCACTCCATCCCTTGCTCCGCCGCGAACGTCCTCAGGCTGGACTGCTGCTCCTCGAACGCTTCCTGAAGCCTCTGCAGCTCGTTCCGGGCTCCGACGAAATTTGTCCCGTTGTCGGAATACATCCTCAGCGGAACGCCACGTCTTGCGATGAAGCTTTTTAGAGATAAAGGAAAACAATAAGTCGACAGGTCTGGGACAAGCTCTAAATGGACGGCCTTCGAAGCGAAACACACAAATACCGCGATGTACATTTTGAGCGGCTGACGACCTCGAATCCGAAGCGAGACGTTGATGGGACCACAAAAGTCTACCCCGCAAATCAGGAACGGACGACCTTCCCTAAACCTGTCTGCTGGAAGATTCCCCATAATCTGACCCATCAATTTAGGTTTGTATCGAAAACAGTGGATGCATCTCCTCACTATGCGAGTGCATTCTCGACGTGCATTTACTAGCCAAATCTCTTGTCTCAGCAAACTTACTAATGTCTTTTTAAAATGCAGGTTTCTTAAATAGAGTTCGACGAATTGACTCTTGGCGGGAAGTAGAACCGGAAACTTAGCATCTATTGGCACTAGAGCATGCAACAGCCTTCCTCCGACCCTGATAAGTGTAAACGATCGCCCCTCCTCTGATCTTTTTTGGATAAAAGGGGCCATCATCTGCAGGCTCGGTTGCAGCGTATGCCCTTTCTTCAGCTTCTTAAACTCTTCAGAGAAGACGCTTCGCTGAACCAGCTCCATCAATTTTAGAGACGATTGCTGCAATTCCTTTGCAGTTAGCTCCCTGTAACGTTCCTTGTTCTTGCCGATATTAGTAAATCGGTATACATACGCAAAAACTCGAACTAATTTGGGGTACGACGAAAAACGAGAAAATATTTCATTTGAAAACGAGTTCGCAACGCCAATTAGAACCTGGGCGGACCGTTTCGCCTCGGAGTTCTTCACATCATCTGGGATGTTAAAATGCGGGTTCTCTGGCCAACAATGCTCATGCTCACATAAAAATTTCGGACCTTCTAGCCATATGGACTCCAGGAGCTCAGGCACTTCGCATCCGCGAGACGCCAAGTCCGCTGGATTCGACAGCGATGGGACATGACGCCACGTAATGCCCTGACATAGCTCCTGAATCATGGCTACTCTATTTGAGACAAATACTGCAAGTGACGACGGTTGGGTTTTAATCCAATGTAGCGTTATTTCTGAATCCGTGCAGAAAAATACGCTCTCGATTCGACACTTTTCCAAAACTTGCTTTACGTAGGCCCAAAATTGCGCCAATAACGCTGCGGCGCACAATTCGAGCCTCGGGATGGTATTTGTTTTTAGGGGAGCTACTCTTGCTTTCCCAGCGATCAATCGAACGTACGTTTGACCTTCGAAAAGCGCTCGCACATAAATGCAGCACCCATACGCTTGACTAGACGCGTCCGCGAAGCCATGCACTTGAATCGACGAGCACCCACTAGCCATAACGTACCGAGGCACGGCTATTTTGTCAAGACCACACAAGTTTAGCTTTAGCCTCTCCCAGCTTGTATTCAGTGACATTGGGATGGCTTCATCCCAATCCAGCTGAAGCTGCCACAGCTTCTGGACGAAAATTTTCGCTGTTATGCTGATTGGACTAAGTAGCCCAAGCGGATCAAACAGTCGAGCACTAATTGACAGAATGGTGCGCTTAGTCGGATTCAAGTTTGTGAAGCTATCTTCCAAGTGATACCGGAACGTATCTGTTCTTGGACTCCACCTCATCCCCAATGTTTTGGTCGAATCGGCATCATTGAATGATACGGATTTCTCCTCATTGTTTCCATCCATTAGTTCTGGATGGTTCGAAAACCATTTCGAAAGCTGAAACCCTCCGGAGCCAAGAATCTCAGACACCTGATCGCAAATCGACTTCAGCGTGTCTACGTCATCGGCTCCTGTCAGCATGTCGTCTACATAAAAATCACTGCAGATCACCTCAGAACCCTTCTTGTGGGTGTCTCTGTGGCGTACACCGAGCTCGTGCAAACAACGAATGGCAAGGAAAGGTGCTGCGGAAGTACCATAGGTAACTGTGTTCAGCCGAAAATGTTGCAATTGATCGGTGGGATGTTCTCGCCACACGATGAGTTGGAAATTCCGGTCTTTTACGGCAACATCCACTTGCCTATACATTTTCGAAACGTCTGCCGTTAAAGCATACCGATTCACCCGAAATCGAACGAGTGATAAAAAAAATTCCCTCTGAATAGTAGTAGTAATGACCACCCAGTTGTGGTCTTGCTCGACGCGTCAAAAACGACTCGAAGCTTGGTGGAACTGCTATCAGGCCTCAGGACGCACTGGTGTGGTATAAAATAATGTGGTCCTGGCGGAATCGCGTTGTCTGTCGGAGACATATGGCCGAGCTCGATATATTCCTTCATGAAACTGAGATACATGTCTCTCAGCTCACTCTCTCTTAACGTTCGTCGCTCTAACGATAAGAAACGACGTTTTGCGACCTCAAAGGACGACCCCAACGATACTGGGTCTGTCTTAAAAGGCAACGGTATTTTAAACCTTCCGGTCGGTAAATTGCAGACATTGGCCTTGAAAAACTCTTCGCATGCCAGCTGCTCTGCCGAATTTGTTTGAGCATGTTTTTCTTCTGGCGTTGCATCTATCTCCCACAGTCTTTCGACCATTTGAGACAGAGAGTCTTCTTCCGGTGAGTAGGTTGCGACGCAGCAAGCGGCTTCTCCAGTCAGAAGCTTGCTACACCGACCTGAAGCTACCCAACCTAAAAGGGTCTTTTGCAACAATGGTGCCCCTTCACCCAGTTTTATTTGGCCTGTGCACAACAGATCGAAGAACGAGTCTGCTCCAATCAGCATATCTACCCTTTGAGGTCGATGGAATGCTGGATCTGCCAACTCCACATTCGCAGGAATTTTCCACTGCTTAATGGGCAGACTTCTGTCAGGCTGCTGATTGGTAATGCTGCTACGAAACTATGGTTATTTAACCTGGAGTATATTGTCGTCGAGACTTCACTCCTCGACACCGAGCTTGACTTGCCTACAGATGTCACTGTCAGGCAACGGTTGACCCTTGCCAACCTTAGCGATTGCGCTAGACTTTCTGTCATGAAATTGACCTGTGAACCCGAATCCAACAACACTCTTGCTAAGTGAACTTGGCCAAATCTGTCCCGAACTCTTACCACTGCTGTGGCAAGGATGACATGCTCGGGCTCACTGGATGCCTGCTTCACCTGCGCAGGATGGGACGATGCTTGTACTCCTATTGCCTGACTTTCTGAATCTGCGCTCTGAGCTGCGTATCTATGCAAGAGGGTGTGATGCCTCTTTGAACAAACTCTGCACTTAGAGGATGTGCACTGAGATACCCTATGTCCAGATTGGAGGCAATTAATGCATAATTGCTTGCCTTTTGCGAACTCGAAACGCTCCAAGTCGCTCCACACTTGGGGTCGATCGACTTTTCGGCCCTCGCGCCGAAAGGTGAAAGGTGTTGGTACCGGCGGTTCAACATTTTTGCACAATCCGACCAGCAAGGGAGCTCATCGTAGTTCAGCTGCTCCTCATACTTTGTTTTTGTGTATGGGTCCACCTTGGATAACACCAGATGTATTATCATGGCGTTAGCAACCTCTCGCTCGTTTCCTAACGATAAAAGCGACTCCAGAATGGCTGACACTGTATCTATAGTTGATCGCAATGCAGACGCTGACGGCTTGTCGTACACCCTCTTCAAACTTTCTAACGCCTTTGGATAGTTGGCATCTGACATTTGGAACGCCCTAACGGTTCCCAAGGCTTCATTGGACAAGCACGATATGAGATGGTTGAACTTCTCTATATTGGACAACGACGGGTCGGAATCTACCAAACTTTCAAACAGACTAATAAACTGTTTGTAATCCGCATGCTTGCCGCTGAACTTCGGCAACTTCAATTTTGGCAAATTGGAGTAGTGGTGTGTGGGTGCTGAATTCATATATGGTTGAGGGGATCTGTTGGTCGCTGCCGACATGTACAGAGCCTTTGTGATCACACACGTTTCTTCCAACGCCGCCCGATCTGAATTATCTGGGTCTAGTACATCGATCTCGGACTGCAGGGCCATTGCTTTTTCAATATAGGAGTTCAATATTTTCAAACGACATTGGATTTGTAATGGATCCAGCGAAATTGAACCCTCCTCAAATGCTATCCTCATTCGATTTATATCTTCGCTTATCTTCTCCAACCTCACATACAATTTTGTGAGCTTCGTGCTTCCACACATTCCGCTCCCAGTTGCCTTCTCTTCATCATGATCTTTAGACATGTTGATTAAATTACCAACGTTGGTTGTTCCTAACTTCTAAACTTCAAACTTGCTAAGCGAAGGCGACGATAACCTGAGGAAATGCACTGCGTTCAATGAGAACAATGTTTGACAGTACGGCAAAAGTATTCAAGTACCCACGTATAAACGTATTAGGTTCGATACGACAACGACTGCAACACTTAGAACAGACAAAAACGCAACAAACGCAACCGAGCTCAGTCACGGCGAACCAAACTCGACCCACGTTCGATCCCCTACGAAACGGACGTCTGGAGTTCCAATGCGCGCAACGCTAAGCTAAGCGTACGCAACCAACACCAAGTTTGGCTCGACACACTGAGCTCGAACCAAGTTCGAACCAATAAGCAAACGCAATTCTAATGCGCGCAACGCACTCGACTCCCAAATTAGAACAGCGTTCGACCCGAAAACTAAGTGGCGAACGATGTTTCAATTGATTGGCACAATATAAGAGCGGATGATCAGCTCTCGTCACAAACGACAAGCTGGGCGACACCAGTTAGAGAGTTGGATAACCACGAAGCTGCGGGAGCAAAGTTACGACGAGGGTACTGCTCGAACGTAAACTTAAGAGAACCGTATGCTGTACATTAAAGAGCGCGAAAATTAGTTTACCGCTGCAAGGGTCAATGTTTTCTCAGCGAACAGAACGAAATGCGAAATAATGCTACCAAATGCGAAATGTGCGGTAAACTATGTCGTTGGCGCCTTCTAATACTCTTCCCGAACTACCCAGCTTTGTAATCGATCTCAGCGTGTCTGTTTTAATAACTCTTTTTCTAAGCCTGTTTCTGTATCGTCGGGGGTACCTCAAGGTAGCCATCTTGGCCCTCTGTTGTTTAATTTGTTCATCAATGATCTTTCCCAAGTATTAACTCATTCCCGAGTACTTATGTATGCGGACGATGTCAAGTTATGTTTCTCCTATAGCTACCTATAGCGTCAAGATCAGACTGGAGACATATCCCCATTATATCCCCATTATGACGCCCTCAACAACTGGTGCTTAATAAACATTCTTCCCCTTAACATTTCTAAATGTAACGTCATGACATTCCACCGCAGCAAGCCTTACCTTTTTGACTACAATATCCATAACTGTTCCTTAAACCGCCTTTACAAGTTACTGACTTGGGAATTATCTTTGTACCTAATCTGTGTTATAACTCACACATATCCGCTATTTAAAATAAAGCCAGAGGTATCCTGGGCTTTATCAAAAGATGTTCTAAGGAGTTCACCGACCCTTATACCACTAAACTTTTATATGTATCCTTGTCCGGCCTATCCTTGAATACGGTTCCTGCGTTTGGTCTCCGCATTATCAAAAATATCAGGATATTTTGATTGATATATTGATTGACTCCGTTCAAAAACAGTTTATCCTTTTTGCACTTCGTTGTCTTAATTGGGACCCCTCTAGACATCTTCCTTCTTATGAGAGTAGGATCCGGCTCCTCGATATCCGCTCTCTTGAAAGCCGAAGGATTTGCCATGGAGTGCTTTTTCTTCACAAACTTCTCGCTGGTGACGTTGATTCCACTGCCCTCAGTAGCCTTATTAGCATTTCTGTCCCTTCCCGCCCGACTAGGCATTACTTTCCGCATCATCTTCAACTCTGGCTTTCTAATTACTCTGACCATGAATCTTTCCGTTGCCTTTGCCGTAACTACAATACCTTCTTCCATCTGTTTTTCTTCGTCACTAGTTCTATTAAGGTAAAATCTTTCTTAACAAATAACTTAATTATTTAATCTTCACTTAATAGGCTATAGGCTATTTCCTGACCACAACTTGCTGTAAGCTGGACCATAGCGGCTGTTTAGAGTGAGGACGGCGCTGGCGGGGCAACAGCTCTGTGGGCATTCCAGCCACACCACTGTTAGCAATCCAGCTACGCAAGCTGTTGCCCTCGCTCTCGCTCTCACGCTTAGGAGCTTTTTTTCCCCGGTGACGCGCTCTCGAGCGCATATTCACCACGCTTGCGCTCCCGCTCCCGCCCACGCTCACGATCACGCTCCCGCTCTCGCCTCCGACAGCCCTCGGCAGCTTGAGTACCACCGATATTCAATGCGCTTCTTCACCCACAAGCAAACGGCCGGTTTTGCACGCGATACAAATACATATATATATAAGCCCAGAACAATCCCGAAATATATACGAGAAGAAATTGGAACTGCCTAACGTCTTTAATTTGGGATTCTGAACGGTGGAACTTCGAAAGCCTCTTCGCTCAATCAGCGGCTATTTAGCCAATAAATTAGTCCTATTGGGTCAGGATAATATCCATAGTCTGATAACACTAGTTAACACTAGAATAAGTCTGTGGCCCAAAATTTAGATTCTTATAGATTTCGAGGTTTAAACATTTTTAACGAATTATGGTTTTTTTTTATGGTGTAGTTTTTTTTTTAAAGAATTTTTTAAAATCTGGTTTTTTTTTTTGTTTTTTTCAGAGGTAGTGCTTCTATTTTTCACATAACTTAAGTATTTTATATCTGGTTGCATAGAACTTTGCAGTTCTGAAAAGCTGACAAACGCAGCTATAAATCCGACTCAAACTTTTTGTATCTGCAGCTTAACGCCTGGACTCGGGAAACTCGGGAAAAGTAAAAAACAAATTATTCTTGGCCAACATTTTTGGTTTTAGATAGACGCATTAATTGAGCGTCGTTTAAGTTATTGCTCATCAGAATCTAGGGATAAACAGTCAATTTGAAGCCGTTTGACCAAAACAACTCTAAAATAATTTTACCTGAAATTAATGCTTTTTTTTCACATAACTTAAGTATCTTACAACTGGTTGCATATTCAGCTTTCAAATACGGCAACTCATATAAATATTTATAGTGATAGCCAAGCTGCGATCAAATCGCTGAATGCGATAACATCAAGCTCGGCTACCGTGGCAAACTGTCGCAAATCCCTCCATGAGATGGCTTATCAGTTTGTTATCAGCCTAATATGGGTCCCGGGCCACCAGGACATTGAAGGCAACTGTATAGCAGACGAGCTGGCCAGAACTGGTACAACAATCCCCCTTCTCCACGTTAAGGAGGATATTCGTATGCCAATGGCCACCTGCTAGCTCAAAATAAAAGAACATTTTAAGCGACTAATAAATGACAGATGGCAAACAGTGCCACTATGTCGCATAACTCGGCAAACATGGCCTAACATTACTAGGAAGCGCACCGATGAGCTTTGCAAACTCAGTAGGAATAGGTGCAGCTCAATCATACGCTCCCTTACTGGATATTGGCTAATAGTCACCCATGCAACCAGGCTGGGTGCCCCCTATAACGACTTCTGTCGGAGCTGTAGAGATGAGGACGAAGTGCAGACTGTGGAACATCTGTTCTGCTCCTGTCCGGCTCTCAGTAGAAGGAGACTTCAATACTTAGGCGCACCTTTCCTAATTGACATTTCAGACATGTCTACAATCAGTCCCAGACGGATCGCAAGCTTCATAAGGGCATCCGGATGCGACAATGGATAACATAGTGTCTCACGAGGGAAGAGGGAACGATCTATGCGGTATCACAATGGGCCGAAACCGGCCTAGGTGTGTCGGGTCTCTAACGATCCCGACAACCGCCTCAACCTAACCTAACCTAACCTCACTGGTATAGGGAAAGAAACAATTAATACATTATATACACCTTAGAATAACTCCATATACATTACGTTATTCTAATAAAAAGGGGAGGTGTAGGGTATTCATGCAGTGTGTTTAAGAACCACCCTAAAGACGGATTTCAATATGATGCGGTCCCAGCGGCGGTCACTGTCGTGGCCCAAAAGTGATGCGACTGCATCCAGCTAGAGAACCTTACCAAACAGCTACCGCCGCCGTCCGAAATCCGACGCGTCATATTGCAGACCGGGGCGATGAGTCACCTGGAGGTAACGCCTCTTCACTATTTCATATAAATATAAGTTAGTTTTCAATAAAGAATCAATCATAAACCAGAACGTAAGACTTTCATATCAGTATATTGTAATTTTCCAAAGTCTGTTCCCCGTTTTGGGCAGAGTTTTGTTGAGTAATGTTGTTCTCTAGCTCTACTATCCCATATACACAGGAAGCAGCAGTGTTTTGTGACACCACCTTGCAATCCCGTTAAAATGGCTTAAACTTTTAAGTCACACGCGACCTTCCACGGGTGTTATATTTTCAAACAATTAAGCCATTGTTTCATATGTTTCCTTCATATTAACAGCTTGGGCGATGGGAACAGACGGCTTTTGGTTTCCATTACGTATTTCATACCAAAGGACCGCGATCAGGTACCAAATGTACAACCCTTTTTCGTTTGATTTATTCCCAACTGCCAATTGGAAACAAAGCAAACGAAGAGGGGTTACTAGAAGTTTTTGCTACCTGAACGTGTTCCTTTGGCATTGGACCAGCAATGGTATTTTAGTTTTGAGTCGTTTTGGTCAAACGGCTGCAAGTTGACCGTTTATCCATAGATTTTAATGATCAATACCTTAAACGACGCCTAATTAAGGCGTCTATCTAAAATCAAGAATGTTGGCCATGAATTTTTTTCGACTTTTCCCGAGTTTTTAAAGTCAAAAAAAAAAAAAAACCGCAAAAAATGATGAAATTTGAATTTGAAAGCCAAATATCTTTCAGGCGTTAAGCTGCAGACACAAAGTGAATGGGTATGATTTGTAGTTGCATTAGGCACCTTTTCAGAACTGCAAAGTTATATGCAACCAGATATAAGATACTCAAGCTATGTGAAAAATATAGGCACTACCTCTGAAAAAAACCATGAAAAGAAATACCAGATTTTAAAAATATTTTAAAAAAAATGACACCATAAAAAAAATTATAAAGTACTACAATAATTTTAAAATCCCGAAATCTATCAGAAAAAGTTGTATTGTTTCACAGCCTAAATAAAAAGGTCAATTTTGTCGAGTAGTGTTATCGGAGCACATCATGGCGGATCTTCCGAAGGAGCGGCTCGACGGTTCTCATGCCTTTGAGATCACAGGCGTCGATTTTTTTTGCCCTTTTTTCTACAAGCCAGAGGCACGCAAGAAGGCTCCAATCAAATTCTACGTCTGCGTCTTCATTTGCTTTGCGATTAAGGCTGTTCATTTGGAGCTGATCAAGGATTTGTCTACAGTCTCTTTTCTGCACGGCCTAAAGCGGTTCACGTGCACCAGGCGAAGGCCGCAACAAATTTGGTGAGATAACGCAACCAATTTTGTCGGCGCCATGAATGAGCTTTTGGACCTAAAGCATCTATTTCTCAGCGACGACCATCAGAAGGCGGTCTTGGAGATTTGTTTGGTTGAGGCTATTGACTGGCACTTCATAAGTACGCTCCCCGTACTTTGGAGGCCTGTAGGAAGCTGCAGTGAAGACGGCCAAGGATCACTTCTATCGTCCTATAGGCACCTCTGTGCTTGGATTTGAGGAACTTCGTACGCTGCTATGCCACATCACGGCAGTTATTAATTCAAAACCCTTAGTATCCATTTCAGAGAATCCTGCCGATCTAGAAGTTTTAACTCCAGATCATTTCTTGAATGCTGGATCGCCTGCTATGTTCGCTGAGCCTGACGTAACTCAGCTAAACTTCGATCGCCAGAACGGATGGCAGCGCGTTTCATATTTGCAGCAGATCTTCTGGTCCTGATAGAAGGAAGAACCCATCACTTCACTGCAACAGCGCTCAAAGTGGCGCACACCGAAGCCTAGTTTGGTAGTCGCAGATGTGCTCCTTGTTAAGGATGAGAATCTGCCTCCCATGAAGTGGCCACTACCTAGGGTGGTCGAACTACTACCCGGAAAAGATGGCGTCGCCCGAGTCGCTGTTCTGAAGACTGCATCTCGAATCACCAAGCGAGCCGTTAACAAGCTGTGTCGGCTTCCCCTTAAAGATTTTTTTTTTGTTATGTTCCTTATGTTGGTTTATTGTAAACAATTATCACAGACAATAAAGTACAATTACTTAACGTACTTTAACTGTTGATTAGCAACGTTTGTTAAGGGTCAAGGACCATTTGTATTTACTATTTTAAGTTAAATGCTGGACCAACGGACGATAACGGAGATTGTTCCTGGTGGCCAAGTCGAACGGATGGATGGTTCTTCTCCTTACCAATCTTCTAGCGAGGACGTTCGGGTGGCTCCTTAGTTTGGTCAAGTATCTTGTGGCCTGCTCGTTAATAATGTCACGGACTTTATTACGGATATACCATTCAGCACATTCAGCGTTCAGATCTTTCGGAGGGTCTTGTTCTGAAACACCCTGATCCTGTCAGGGTTCGTTTTCGCTGCGATACCACAGACCTGGATGCCATACCTCCATGCAGGCGCCAGGATTACCTTATATATGCGGATCTTGTTGGCCAAGCTAAGCTTGTTGTTAGGCTTAAGAAGCCTTGCTTTCCAAGGCGCTTCTGACCAGCCTTGAGTGGCAGGCAAAGGTCAGGCGGGTGTCTAGCGTTATTTTGGGGTTTGCCGGGTTTATGCAGCATGACAACCTGCGCGGCTTTCCATGCTTTGGGGACACTTCAGCGTGTAACCTCAGCGTTGCATTCATTATTTGTAATAGGTATAAAAGCGCACTGAGTGGCAGCACTTTTGCCACTCTGCTATCTATATTGTCCTTTCCTGGGGCCTTTTTTTTAGAAGCAGTAGTCCTTCTACTTTACTGGACGTCACGCTTCTGTGACTTCCAGTACGCGACGGTTTAGTGACTTGGTGACCTTGTAAGGCAGCAGCTGCAGCAGCCTCGCAGACCTTGGTCACAAATGAGTCAATGGCCCCTTCTACTTCTTCGGTGGTCCTCAGCTCCGTGTTTAGGTCCAGGGAGCCTTCCAGAATTTCTCTGTTCTCTGTTTGTTCCAGTTTTAAGTATCCTCGTCTTGGCAGGGATCATCTGGAGTGTAGCCGTTAATTTCGCGATTAGTGATAAGTCGTCAGAGCTTAGCTCGTGGTCCTCACGGACTGAGAGCAGGTTGCTAGGGATCGACATGTAGATGAAAAAGTCCAGGCATGAGGGCGTGGAATGGCGACAACTTGGGTAAAAGGTGGGGCTACCCGTCGCTAGTACTTGGGGACATTCTTTCCCTCTATCAGCTGAGTCTCTGTGACTAGCATCACGTCGACATTGTGAGCACACAAGAATAGCGCCAGTTCATTGCAGTTGTGAGCAATGCTGCGAACGTTCCAAAGTCCGATCCGTAGGTCCGACAGCATTGTGAATCTCTGGATGTGTGTAAGGGAAGAAATACTTTTGTGCTTCGCAGCTGGTCCAAGCTTTGCAGGGTCCCTGCAACGGCTGCTGTGAGATCTGCCACGGATTTTTGTAGTCCATGCATAATAACAGTAATGGTCCCGGCATCCAGGTGGTGACCAGGGGGAGGGCATTGGTCTTGAGCGTGGGAGGTGGGCTGCCTGCGGTTGCCTTGGAGTACCGGAAAGGTGTTGTTGTAGTCCTGTGGGAGGTATGATGCGTTCTGTTGGCCTCCTTGGTGCCATGCTTGCTGGTGCTGATTAAACCTGGATGCATCCGCGAACGAGATCCCTCGCTGGACAGCCATCGGGGGGACATTCATCGCCCTTCTAGCTCTTTGTGGTAAATTTCCTTGGCTCTAAGGTGCAATATTAACGGTCGATTGGCGATTTCTCAGCATCATTACGTAGATTCTACATGATATGTGGTATGCCAGCTGTGCTGGCATTAAAATTGGGGTACCTGTCCAGTGATCCCCTGAGCACCTACCACATACCGGTCGCTTCAGGCCGTAGGTTTTTGTGTGATCGAACTCATAACAGCGAAAGCATTGCCTCACGCCGTTGTTCTTCCTGGGCAGCTCAATTTGTACACGTTGCCTACCCACCCTTGCACAGTTGTACAGTGGCCCCGTTCCATGGGGGCAAGGATTAGGCTTGGCTGCGGGAGGCTGCTGCATTTTCGGCAGTTGCCGGAGTTTGGTTGACAGCCGTGACCAAGTGCAATGGGGCTTTGCTCGCAAAGGGTGCATGGGCCAACCCTGTTCCGAATCGCGGGAAGCTGTGTGAAGCTGTAGTTGTCAGAGCTGCACTCGCAGTAGTTGAGGTCATCGTGTTTGTTGTGGCAGTGGCTCCAGTTCCCAATCTTCCTGCCTCGGTTCTTCTATTGACTCGAGTGCTTGTCCAGGTATGGGGAGTGCATTCCGATCGCGTTGGTTTTTAAGCGACCTTGGTATTCGTCTGCATCGCAAATGGAATCCAATTCAGAATCTTCATCCATACGCAAAGTTTGAAATCTTCGAAGTTGTTAAAAAATTATTTATTTGTATTTGTTTTTTTTTAGAGAAAATTCACACGTCTGCTTAAAGATGCTGTTGAAGGTCATGCTTCCCACAGGGGGGAGTATGTCGGGTCAAGCAGCATAATGCATATGCCTACGCCCGGCAGCGGCTGTTCTGGCAGTTATGTCTCCCGCTGCTTTCGTGTTGCTGCTGCTTGTGCTCGGCTCAAAAGCCACGCCGATCTATGCCATAATGCTCTCACGTTCTCATTAAGAAGTTATGCATAGAACACGAGCAGTCGTCCCATTTTGCCCTGCCATTAGTCTGGTATTGATCTTCGTAACATTCGGTCTCTATACTTGTACCAATAAATATACATACGCGTACTGCCGCTACTACATGCCAATAAACTACTAAGCTAGTCGACATGATTTTTCCTCAAAGAAAAAAACCAACTGTTGATTTGGGGCTTAGAAAAAAGTTCTGCCATATAAAAAAAAAAATTTCATCAAACCATTTCTAAACCATTTCTCAAACTATTTAAGAAAAAGTTGGTTTGGATCCTTGGATAAATAGCAAACAAAAAAAATTAAATCATTTAAAAATATCATAATAGATCATAAAAACACAGTGACACAAGATTTTTATATATACAGACTAGGAGGCAAGCCCCAAGCTCACTCGCTTCGCTCGTTCGCCAACCCCCAAGTCTTCTAAAGTTATTTATTTTTCTTTATTACAAATTTATTATACCCGTACTCAAAAAAGAGTTAAGGGGTATATTAGATTTGTGGTAAAAGTGGATGTGTGTAACGCAGAGAAGGAAACGTTTCCGACCCCATAAAGTATATATATTCTTGATCAGCATCAATAGCCGAGTCGATATAGCCATGTCTGTCTGTCCGTCTGTCCGTCTGTCTGTCTTGTTGAGCGCCTAGATCTCAGAGACTATAAGAGCTAGGGCTCCAGACTCATGTGATATCCCACTGCTACAAGTGTATTTCAAAATTTCGCCCCGCCCCCTTCCGCCACCACAAAGGACGAAAATCTGTGGCAGGCACAATTTTAAAGATACGATAAAACTAAAAACGCAGTATCGTAGAAAATGTCCATATCTACCAGACTGCCAAATTTGAATCAGATCGGATCATAATTATAGCCAGAATGAAGAAATTAATTTTCAGTTGCTTCCCCTCCCCCTCCCGTTCCAGACAACGCAACTCATTTTCCTTCTCGCTCGCACACTCTGCCGCGTTCAGTGCGCGAGCAACCCCTAGCGGAGGAGATGTAGAATATGAATGGAACATGTACAATCTACATGTTAGATGTAGAATAGACATTGTATATGTAGATGTAGATAGCAGATGTAGCAAAAAAATTTAATATGTAAAATTTTTTTTTTTTTTCTAAAATTCTAAAAAATCATAAGCTCAATAATGTATATACTGACTGAGTACGGGTATAAGTAGAGTCGTGTCCCCAGAAACGACTCACACGTTCCTTCTCGTTTTTAATTTGAATTTGTATCATTTTATTGATTCATTTTATTATAAAGGGGTCTAAATCGGATGATTCTAATTACCGTGGGATCTCCAATTTATCTGCTATTCCCAAACTCATCGAAAAAATAATTACTTCCCAGCTCCAACACTTTTGGTGTCCCTTATTCTCTGAATCGCAGCATGGATTTGTAAAACGTCGGTCTATTTCTTCTAACCTCCTGGAATTCTCCACCTTCGTGCATGCGAGTTTCGCTAAGCAGTCTCAGACTGATGTAGTCTATACTGACTTTAGTAAAGCCTTTGATTCAGTAAATCATAATCTGCTTATTCATAAATTATCTCTTCTAGGGTTTCCGCCTAAACTTCTTTTCTGGTTTAATGCATACCTTTGTAATCGATCTCAGCGTGTCTGTTTTAATAACTCTTTTTCTAAGCCTGTTTCTGTATCGTCGGGGTACCTCAAGGTAGCCATCTTGGCCCTCTGTTGTTTAATTTGTTCATCAATGATCTTTCCCAAGTATTAACTCATTCCCGAGTACTTATGTATGCGGACGATGTCAAGTTATGTTTCTCCTATAGCTACCTATAGCGTCAAGATCAGGCTGGAGACATAATGGGGATATGTCTCCAGTCTGATCTTGACGCCCTCAACAACTGGTGCTTAATAAACATTCTGCCCCTTAACATTTCCAAATGTAACGTCATGACATTCCATCGCAGCAAGCCTTACCTTTTTGACTACAATATCCATAACTGTTCCTTAAACCGCCTTT